AGAAGAAGAAGAAGAAGCGTAGCAGCCTCGAAGGAGCATGTCTGCTCCCTGACAGAGGTGGAGCTCCTTGCCTCCTTGAATGAAACTCCTGGCCAGAGGGAATTTCTCCAAGCATTCCTTCTCCCGCACCCCCTTTTGTGTGTTTTGTTTTGTTTATCGCTTTTCCCCGTTCTTCCTCTTCACCTCAACTTCCCAGACTGGGCTTAAGAGATGGACCAGGATGGCATTGATCTTCACAGAATCTCCCGCCAGCCATGTAAGTGTTGGGTAGGTGTACCGGGGATCATGTTGTAGGACCTGCACCTAGAGTTGTAGGACCTTGTTGTTGAGTGCCTTCAAGTCGTTTCTGACTTATAGAAACCCTAGGGCGGTGAACCTGTCTTAAGGTTTTCTTGGCAACTTACTTCAGAAGGGGTTTGCTATTGCCAATCCTCTGAGGCTGAGAGAGTGTGACTTGCCCAAGGTCATCCACTGGTTTTCCATGGCTGAGCCAGGATTTGAACCCTGGCCTCCCAGTGACCTAGTCCAATGCGCAAACCATTACAGCCCTCCAGTCCTCACTAGGATAGATATTTTGGTACAAATAAGCAAAGCCTGGCTTAAAGGATAAGCCTGGTGTTGGTTAGTGGCTTCTGAGTCAGTGGGGAGGCAAAACTGTTCAGTATTTTAGTGTGAAATTTAAAGGAGCCAGCCAAGGTGCCTATCCTCAAAATATGTTTAGCACTTTTGACACCACCTTTAAAATGTGGACTAAAGCTCCTTGAGTGTTTGAACTAATGCCCAAAGTGGATTCACTGTGCCACTATATGGAAGCAACTAGCCAACTGCCTCTTCAAGAAAGTTTTGTAACATTGATATTAAATTGTTTAACTTTAATGATTAAATGGAATTAAATTGAAGATGGGTTTACATGGCCAAGCTTGGATTTGAACTCTGGTCTCCAGAGCTGTAATCCATTGCTCAAACCACTGCACCACACTGCCTCTTGCAATGGCATTATGAGACCAAAAAGATATTCTTATCAATTAGTCATTCTTTCAGGGACTCAGGTTGTTAAAAACCTGTCCCATCAGACAGAAAGGAGCTCTGTCATAAAACGAATGCCACTGGGTTTTGTTTTGATTTTGTTTGTTTTTTAAGAAAAGAGATTACAGTATTTCATCATCATAGCAGTGTCGCTGAGATTAAATAGCTAGCTAGCTTCTTTTTTTTCTAGGAAGTTCATCTTTATCCAAGAGCAAAGGCACTTTGGCCTGTGTTGTATGTCCAGACTGCAAAAGAAATTGTCTGTTTCAGAAGGTGTTTCTCTGCCTGCAAATACATAGAATATGTACACTACGTTCTATGTGCCACATGCAGTTTGGAATATGCAGCATGCAAATTGCAAAGAGAAATTACATCCAGTATTACAGAAATAATTGGAATTGGCGCTGCTCATTTGGTGTTGCCACAGTGTTTACTTTTCTAATTAGCAGACCGTTGAATTCATAGTGTTTGAGGTGTCATTTAATGTTTAGAGAGTTGTCTTCCAATTTTATTTGCAATTGTATTCTCTGAAATGTTTAGGGAACTGAACAGAAATCATGGTCTAGGATTCTTAATGGTATCCATAACACCATATATGAATATGATACCTGGCGTACCTTAGATGGGTAATTTGTTAAAGAACTAAAGAGTATAGGAATTTCATCAACTAACAAGGATGAAAACTATATTTTAGGGAGGAGGAGTCAATTCTTGCCTGTGAAGATGTTTAAAGAAAAAAGTTTGGAAATGATCTCCAGGCTCTTCTTAGAAGTAACTCATTGGCACCTCTGATGCATTTATGTTTGTAATGAGCCTTTTAGTGCAAATTTACAAGTATGCATGGCTGGGCAACAGATGACATCAGTGCTCCCCATTGTATGGTCCCATTTTTCTTTCTCCTTTTGAAGGTGTTGCAGAACTGAGCTGTTGAGCTGAAACATGCTGAAACACATGACTATCCAGCTGAACTGTATACAAATGAATAAATTTAGAATGGCACAGTTTATAAATTCCAAGCTTGGTAATCAAAATGCCAAATCTGACTGTTTGCTTCTAAGAATAGTAAGGGGAGTCCTTTTCTTTACTCCCATCTTCCAAATTCCCATGAAGTACCAGTACCAAAGCTACTTATTAAAATAGCCATATATTGAACTGGAGTAGAGCCCAATTCTAAAAGTAACACTGTATGCTCATCAAATCTCCTGCCAGGCAGAGTGGCTCAGGCCAGGGCAGTGAGATGAGGGACACTTAGGAAAATTAGCCTGACATGAATCAGCTGTACTTTGGTCCAAAAGACTGCTTCTTTGTTAGATGCTGAGTGTTCTCTAGTAACTCACTGTGATCAGTATGAAAAAGCACCAGTTAGCTTCATACTAAAGTTTAATGTGAGGGACAGTTTTTAATTAATTTTTGAAAAATCAGGCTAAACTTAGGAAGCTGATCTATAGAGGGCATTAATCAATTTGAGAGGTCAATGTATAAATGTATTCAGTGACAGATCATTTACTCATGAAGCATGTTGGAAGTCATTTGTCACTAGTTCTGCGTGATAAACTGAGAAATCACTGTATAACTCAAATTAGGAACTGGCATTTTTATCTTTTTACTTTATCATGATTTTTAACATTACTTGATAAAACCAAGTGCTCATATCAACATATGGCTGCAAATACGATTTTAATATTTTCTTCATTTGGTCATTTATCTTTCTGTAGATTTACAGATAATCAGGTGGATCCTAAATGCATCATGCACATCCCTCACACTAATTTCACAAGCAGTAGGAACTACAGATTTTCATTCTTGCCATTATGTGATAGATTATCAAAGTCAGAACCACACATGATGCTAATGAATCTGAACTACGGTGGGCCTTTGGACTTTAGTTCCAGGATCCACTGTGGATGCCAAAATCCATGGATGCTCAAGTTCCATTATATACAACACACAATAGTAAAATATATACCAGGGATAAGCAACCTGTCCCCTTTAAGGGCCAAGGGACTTCAGCTCCCAGAAGCCTCAGCCATGGTCCTGGGATTCTGGGAGCTGAAGTCCCTCGGCCCTTAAAGGGGAAAGATTGCCTACCCCTGATATATACAATAGTATGTGTATATATATAAAATAGTAAAATAGTGTCCCTTATATAAAATGGCAAAATCAAACTTTGTTTTTTGGATTTGTCTGTGTGTGTGTATTTTTGAACAATGACTGGTTGCAGAATCCATGGATATGGAGGGCTGACTGTATACTACCATAACAGGTTAGATATATAACTAATAAAATATGGGCATTTTAAAGGGACTAGTTATGATCATTAATAGAATGACCTCAAATCTTAGACTGCTGGCAGTCAAACTTATTAAACAACAAAAAGAAGAAAATTCTTCTTTCCAATTAGTCTGAAAGGTGTTACTGGATTGCTTTATGCTAAAACAGGAGCATACAACAGGAGGGACATTATGCACAGTTCATAATGGACAGTACTTTCTCAGAATATTGAAAAGTGCTATAGAAAATAGTTACATAGCTAGGTTGGACCCTTGCTCTGGTTTTCTGTCACTCTGATTGCCTTTCACATTGTGAGTTCCTCTTTATTATGCAAAAATTCTGACTATCTTATTGTGATTACATCAATGCTTGAATTACAGATGGGCAAATGGCCCTAGACTTCTTACTACTTGTGATGAATCTTTTGCTAATGTGTTCTGAAGATACCAAAAAAAAAAAAAGAGAGAGACATGCTCTGGCCAAAACTGAAAAATCAGAAGAATAGGCTTTTATATATTTCATTAAGAACTCCGTATAGTTCCACCATAATTCAAATGAATGTTCTTCTGTCTTGTTTTCATAATTCATCCATTAACTGAGTAAGCAGAATCAATGTGAGTAGGATAATTTTTGCTTGTCCAAAATCAAGAATGTGGTTCTGTAAACAAACATTGTAACAAGCAAATGCCTCTCAAACCATTTTTCTTCCTGTGCAGAAGACTAAAAAAATAACAATATGATTTTGTAGTCTGATTCTGCTTACTTTTAATTATGTATGACCTCAATACTAGGGATGGGTGAATCTGGACCACAACTTCTCTTGTCCCAAATTAGCTGGCTGGGGTTGATGGACATGTGGAATCCAATGAGATCTATAACAATGCTTCTCAAGCTGTTTAATATGACAGATGAGCAATTTATTCCTACTATGCCGGGGCTCGTACCATATTTGCACTGTGTTATCATAACTGCATACTTTCCTGGTCATTCTCTATGGAGCAGACCACTAGCTGATGGCTCACCAGTCTGGGGACCACCAGTTTGAATAACGCTGATCAAGAGGGCCACAGGTTCCCCAACCCTACTCAGTATTATCAGCTCTCCAGAGCTATATTCTGAAATACACAAACCTCCTTCCACTATTTAGCACAGGGGTAGGCAACCTGTCCCCTTTAAGGGACGAAGGACTTCACCTCCCAGATTACCAGGAGCTATTGGCCAACATGGGACTATTGGCCAACACGACTGAGGTTTCTGGGAGCTGAAGTCCCTCAGCCCTTAAAGGGGAAAGGTTGCCTACCCCTGATTTAGCAGGTCCCGTGTTAGGCCACTATCTAGCACAGGGGTAGGCAACATTTCCCCTTTAAGGGCCAAGGGACATCAGCTCCCAGAAGCCTCAGCCATGTTGGCCAATAGTCCCATGTTGGCCAATAGCTCCTGGGATTCTGGGAGCTGAAGTCCCTTGGCCCTTAAAGGGGAAAGGTTGCCTAGCAGGCCCTGTCCTCCAGTTCCTTTTTCTTTACTACAGCAGTGGGATTGGAGAAGAAGCATTTGGTGGATTTTTTCCAATCTATTCTGATTTCATAAGGGGACCGGCCACCCATCACTGGCAGCCAGTGTTGGAATATGGTCACCATAAGCCTATCTGAATCACTGGAAGTCTTTCGTGAGTTCATAGTTTTGTTAAAGGGAAGAGTAAATATGATGACTGCTCTTGTCATAATCCTTCAAATCCATAAACATGCTATCCTGTGAGGCAAACCTTACTAGCTCATGTTGATTTCCTTTCTGTTCTCTAATCAGGCTGGAGCACAGCCAGTTGGGGGCAGACCAGAGCTAAGGTTGAAATGGCTAATACAGTATTAATAAATAAGCATGCTTTTCAGAAGTTGTTGCCTCTAGGTAGAAATTTGGAGACAAGTTTAAATACAAGTTTTCTTTTCTTTATTTTTTTTTAAACCATCAGATTTGATTGGCAAATAGAAGCTGATTTGAATGTTCCTTAGATCCACTACTACTTTTCACAGGCACAAAAGGAGAAAAGCAGGCCAATCTTCAACAGTATTCTTTAGGGATGTTAATAAATTAAGCAAGACTGCCATTCTTTTGATAGATGAAGGTATGTGTGGAAGGAGGTTGGCTTTATATATTGAACTTCCATGGATGCTGGGATGCAGTGTCAGCGTAATGGTCAGGGTTGGCATACACTGCAGTGTTCTCATGTGCAACATGTTATGTTCCCCATAGCAACCATTTTTAATTATGGTGTAATTAAAATGGAGAAGGTAAAGGCATGCACTTGGGATACTGCTGGGAGTTTAACTCACTGCCTTTCATAGGTTTACTCAAAGTTATTCAGAATCAAGACTATGGTGGTGTAGGTGGCAGTGGTAGGTAACAACAGAGTGTTGGGTGAAAATGATCATGGGTATGTAGTATGGAAGACAGGATGCTATAGGAAACACAGGAAATTATCCCTGTCAGGAAATAGAACTTCCCTGAAGGTTTACAAGGTGCTCAGCATCTCTTTTCCTTCTTTCCCAATGCTATGCCACCCCCAAAAGTGCTGTATGCTGGTATAATGGTGCATTAAGCCAAAATTACCAAAAGGATTCTGGCCCAAGTCCACACCTATGTGTAAACACCTAAGTCTTCAGTAGCTTGGTTCTCAATTAAAAGATAAATC